GTGGAGGGAGAGGAGTAGATAGGTAGAAGTAGAAGAGTAGATAGTAGAAGTCGAAAGTAGATAGTAGGAGACGAAATGCTGCCACCATCCATTCATGATCATTACATACAAGACAAGGAATGGAACTTGTCTGTATCCCAATATTCTCAAAAGATGTTATCAAGAGATCATTATTAGTATGGTCCCATCTTTATCATGTACTCATTCTAAACCATGAAACCAGTAACTACAGAGGCTTTCTCAAATCCTCAACTCAAAATCTCTAGGGAACAAAGTTAAACACAATTTAAATAATAAATTCATAATTATATTTCACATGAAGTATCATAATTTAGCAATTCAATTAAAATGTTCCAGTTTAATATGCAAAGTGAGTCATCATCCAAGAATTCGAGAACCCTACAACTTGACTGCCCCTGATCATCACACAACATATGTAAACACGACCAAGTCACCTAAATGTTCACTCACCGAGGACTGAGTCTAAGTTGAATAGAGAGGGGGGGGGGGTCTGTAGTTGACAGAGACTCCCGCCCTGCCGGCCGACAGCCTCCCTGCTCTGCTCGTCTGCTGTTCTCTTGTCTGGTAATCCTCCTTTCTGGATAGCTCTCCGAGTTTATATTGGGGAACCTAGTAGCTAACTCCGCCCACAAATAGATAGCCTCCGGCACTACCAAGCCACTCCTTAAACGTCGGCTTGTTTGAAGGCTACCAGACTACAATTAAGAGCTTAGCGGAAGCAAGGTGAAATTCTCATGATCTGACCTCAGGTCACTTGAGGTCATTAACGCTTTGAGGTGTGAGATCTCAGGCAGACAACTGGCGCCTCTCAGATCCTTGTCTGTGACTCATGTACTCTATATATATTTTAAATAAACTAACTCAAACACTTTTACAGTGTTACATCTCCCCTTCTCCCCGAAATAAAGTTTTTGCAACACTGCTAAAGCAAGCTAGCTGTGTGCAACAACTTTATTAACGAAAAAAAAATACATCCTAGCTAAACAAATATACATCATCCTACTCTAAAAATGAAATATGTAGACAGACGTCCATTGTCTCTGGCTGGGCGACGTCACTGCTTGGTCTTGTAGATAATCCTGTACCACATTTCTTCAACACAACTGCCTCCGTCGCTTCTCCGTCGTTAACGCACAACAACACTTGGTCAACCCGAAAGCCGTTACTACTTGAACTGAGCACAGGACCGTGGAATTCGGTTGTCCCAGCTGATCTGTAATTGGCCCTACGTCAGTCACCATGAGAGACGTATATTGGGGTTCTTCACAGCTATAGGGACTACAAGTTTCGAGACCTTCATATAGTTGCCAACAGTAGAAATCCCATCCTACTCTTCTTCCTCCCTGTTGCTCCAGCACGCCTCCTTCAGAGAGCTACTTCTGACAGCCACATCAAGTCCGCCTGACACAGGAAGAATCACTCAACAGAGCAACATGCTAGTAGGAGGGGCGGCCAGTTAAGGCAAACGATCCTGTCTTGCAATTACGCTCCATGCAATGATGCTGACACCAGCAAGGGACACTAGGTATCGTGTCTCAGCTTGGCTTATCATCTTCTTTCTTCTCTCTTCTTTCTTCTCTCTCTTTCTCTCTTTCTTCTCTCTCTCTTCCTCCTCCCATGGGTCTTAGACAAGCGACCTGGGGTCCATTGGGGGTCTGTCCGTCCTGGGGTCCATCCTGGGTAGACCGATGTTGGTGGGACAGACTGGAGTCGTTGTTGCTCCTCTTCCATCATTACTGGGTCGTCTGGGGTCGTCTGCAGAACGACCTGGGGTCCACTCCGTCCGTCTTGGGGTCCACTGGGGTCCGTCCGTCTTGGGGTCCACTCGGGTAGACCAATGTTGACCGACCGAGAGGGCTGTATCTCGGGGAACCCCTGGGTGATGGTGGTGGTGGTGGTGGCCCTGACATCCAGGTAGGGGCTGGTCGTCGTGGTGGTGAGGAACTTCCCTGAGTGTGGTACACAGCAGCCGTCTCTCTCTTCTGCATATGCGTCGCGCCTCTCCTCTCTTCTGGCTCCCACCTGTGGATGAACATAAAGGCGACAATACCCGTGTTCCCATCTTGTTGTGTGACCCTGTAGTTTGTATAGGGTTCACACAGTCATAACATAACGCTCTCCTCCTGGCAACAACTACACTTCAATTTTCAATACTTCAATTAACTCTGAATGATATTGACTTGGTGGAACATAAAACAGTAACAGAGGAAAGTTAGAGAAGAGAGAATAAGGTCATCACTACTTTTAACTTGTCACACAAAAAAAAAATCAAAACTAATAGACAAAACACTAGCCTAAACTTAACTGTACCGTTCCTAATCTTAAGTACATAATTAACCATTACTCCCACCCTTAACCTACAGCCACCTACGTGACCCAGAGTGTTTCCCTAGCTTCTCCGCCGGTCAACAACTCAAAACTGTTGCCACACCTGTGACCAGACTATCTAACGTCGAGCGTCCCCAACGTGAAGTCTACTGACATACTAAGTCTCCCCCTAGCATGCTGTACAATACCAGTACACCTCGGGTTATTGCGTTCAAATGGAGTAAAACAGTCGATCGCAATAATCTGAGCAGAACCACTACTTAAAAACTACACCTGCCACTCCCCACTGACCTGGAGACCAGCGGTGGCTGGGTGTCCCCGTGGGACATGCGAGGTCACCTGTCACACTCAGCTGACCTGCACTACCAACACCGCTAAGTTCCCAAATCACCAAATCTTATCACTAACATTAAGCACTACACACGCAAGTTCTGGTGAACATTCCCTGAACACCACAAAACTCACAAAATCACTAAACCACAACACCAGAGAATCACAATCTCCTAGCCTGAAAAAACTCGCTAAATCGCGAAAGTAAAACACCTGTCAAGATCTCCCTGATAGCGCCTGAGCGGCAAAAAGACACGTGGGACTGAACAATGTTAAAAGAACACCAACTACCTACAACATTGTTCAACACCGCTGCCAACATTGTAACGGGGGGTGGGGGAAATAGCTCTATCTTGTCCATTATTCCACCCCCCAGTTAACTAACGAGGCCGGGGGAAACAGCTCTCTCTAGTCCGTTATCCCGTCCCCAGTTAGCTAACTATTCTAGAGCACCCTCCAGAGTTCCTAAGGCAACCTCTCTCGTTCAACACCTTGTAACCTAGGTATTTGACTACCTAGGTGCTAAGACTACAAGGCGCCGTAACTGGATCAGCTACCCGAAACTCTAGAGAGAACTCTAGAATACAGAATCTTGCCACAAACGTATAAGAGAAAACGAGAGGAAAGAAATGAATAGTGAAGTAATTAGTGAGGGTTTGGGGTGAGAGGTAGAGAGGTGGGAGGAGCGAGGAGGGTCGTTAGTTGAAAGTGAGAGTTTAGAGAGGGGTGGAGGGAGAGGAGTAGATAGGTAGAAGTAGAAGAGTAGATAGTAGAAGTCGAAAGTAGATAGTAGGAGACGAAATGCTGCCACCATCCATTCATGATCATTACATACAAGACAAGGAATGGAACTTGTCTGTATCACAATATTCTCAAAAGATGTTATCAAGAGATCATTATTAGTATGGTCCCATCTTTATCATGTACTCATTCTAAACCATGAAACCAGTAACTACAGAGGCTTTCTCAAATCCTCAACTCAAAATCTCTAGGGAACAAAGTTAAACACAATTTAAATAATAAATTCATAATTATATTTCACATGAAGTATCATAATTTAGCAATTCAATTAAAATGTTCCAGTTTAATATGCAAAGTGAGTCATCATCCAAGAATTCGAGAACCCTACAACTTGACTGCCCCTGATCATCACACAACATATGTAAACACAACCAAGTCACCTAAATGTTCACTCACCGAGGACTGAGTCTAAGTTGAATAGAGAGGGGGGGGGGGGGTCTGTAGTTGACAGAGACTCCCGCCCTGCCGGCCGACAGCCTCCCTGCTCTGCTCGTCTGCTGTTCTCTTGATTAATGCCCCTTTCTGGATAGCTCTCCGAGTTTATATTGGGGAACCTAGTAGCTAACTCCGCCCACAAATAGATAGCCTCCGGCACTACCAAGCCACTCCTTAAACGTCGGCTTGTTTGAAGGCTACCAGACTACAATTAAGAGCTTAGCGGAAGCAAGGTGAAATTCTCATGATCTGACCTCAGGTCACTTGAGGTCATTAACGCTTTGAGGTGTGAGATCTCAGGCAGACAACTGGCGCCTCTCAGATCCTTGTCTGTGACTCATGTACTCTATATATATTTTAAATAAGGGGGAGAAACTAACTCAAACACTTTTACAGTGTTACACAGGCTCTAGGGGGGGAAAAGTTCTCCTCCATTTGCCCTGATGATCCTATCCAGCTTTCTCTACCAATGGGCCCAGAACAGAACAAGGGTCAGTTTAAAGTATTCTCTCCTAACCTACCAGAGGACCCAAAACAGAAAACGGGACAGTACGAGAGTGTACAAGTGTATAGATTGTAAGAAGAGTGTAAGTGGTAAATTGTGTGAGTGTATGGCGAGTGTATAACGAGTGTATGAGCAGTATAATCTGTGTGAATGTTTAGAGTTGGTGTCGACCAGTGCCTCAAGGAGCCTTAATGTTGACCAGACCACACACTAGAAGGTGAAGGGACGACGACGTTTCGGTCCGTCCTGGACCATTCTCAAGTCCATTCAAGTCAAGTCCAAGTTATTACATTCTTGTACAGCCACTAGTACGCGTAGCGTTTCAGGCAAGTCCCTGGAATACGATCCCCTGCCACGAAGAATCGTTGTTACAACCAAGTACACATTTTACTGTTGAGTTAAACAGAGGCTACAGTTAAGGATTTGCGCCCAGTAAATCCTCCCCGGCCAGGATACGAACCCATGACAAAGCGCTCGCGGAACGCCAGGCGAGTGTCTTACCACTACACCACGGAGACTGGTAAACTAATGCATTGTTACCTAACTAATGACCTAACTAATGTATTTGTTTCGTTGGCAGGAATCTTCGCCTACCTGAACTTCTTGTCGCCGAAGAGCAGACAGGAGATCATCGAACTGCTCATCAGGGGGTTGGAGAGGCTCGAGTACAGGGGCTATGACTCCGCAGGTGAGCACTATGCGTTCTGCAGTCTTCTTTGTTGGTACTCTGCCAGCGGTACTTGGGTAGGGCCATCTCTGCGGGCAGTGCCACACGGGGGCACCTCTGCGGGCAGGGCCACAAGGGGGCACCTCTGCGGGCAGTGCCACAAGGGGGCACCTCTGCGGGCAGTGCCACAAGGGGGCACCTCTGCGGGCAGTGCCACAAGGGAGCACCTCTGCGGGCAGTGCCACAAGGGGGCACCTCTGCGGGCAGTGCCACAAGGGAGCACCTCTGCGGGCAGTGCCACAAGGGGGCACCTCTGCGGGCAGTGCCACAAGGGAGCACCTCTGTGGGCAGGGCTACACAGGAGCACCTCTGCGGGCAGTGCCACAAGGGGGCACCTCTGTGGGCAGTGCCACAAGAGGGCACCTCTGCGGGCAGTGCCACAAGGGAGCACCTCTGTGGGCAGTGCCACAAGGGGGCACCTCTGCGGGCAGGGCTACAAGGGAGCACCTCTGCGGGCAGGGCTACAAGGGGGCACCTCTGCGGGCAGTGCCACAAGGGAGCACCTCTGCGGGCAGTGCCACAAGGAAGCACCTCTGCGGGCAGTGCCACAAGGACGCACCTCTGCGGGCAGTGCCACAAGAGGGCACCTCTGCGGGCAGTGCCACAAGGGGGCACCTCTGCGGGCAGTGCCACAAGAGGGCACCTCTGCGGGCAGTGCCACAAGAGGGCACCTCTGCGGGCAGTGCCACAAGGGGGCACCTCTGCGGGCAGGGCTACAAGGGGGCACCTCTGCGGGCAGTGCCACAAGGAAGCACCTCTGCGGGCAGTGCCACAAGGAAGCACCTCTGCGGGCAGTGCCACAAGAGGGCACCTCTGCGGGCAGTGCCACAAGGGGGCACCTCTGCGGGCAGTGCCACAAGAGGGCACCTCTGCGGGCAGTGCCGCAAGAGGGCACCTCTGCGGGCAGTGCCACAAGGGAGCACCTCTGCGGGCAGGGCTACAAGGGGGCACCTCTGCGGGCAGTGCCACAAGGGAGCACCTCTGCGGGCAGTGCCACAAGGGAGCACCTCTGCGGGCAGTGCCACAAGGGAGCACCTCTGCGGGCAGTGCCACAAGGGGGCACCTCTGCGGGCAGTGCCACAAGGGGGCACCTCTGCGGGCAGGGCTACAAGGGAGCACCTCTGCGGGCAGTGCCACAAGGGGGCACCTCTGCGGGCAGTGCCACAAGGGAGCACCTCTGCGGGCAGTGCCACAAGGGAGCACCTCTGCGGGCAGTGCCACAAGGGAGCACCTCTGTGGGCAGTGCCACAAGGGGGCACCTCTGCGGGCAGTGCCACAAGGGAGCACCTCTGCGGGCAGTGCCACAAGGGGGCACCTCTGCGGGCAGTGCCACAAGGGAGCACCTCTGCGGGCAGTGCCACAAGGGGGCACCTCTGCGGGCAGTGCCACAAGGGAGCACCTCTGCGGGCAGTGCCACAAGGGGGCACCTCTGCGGGCAGTGCCACAAGGGAGCACCTCTGCGGGCAGTGCCACAAGGGGGCACCTCTGCGGGCAGTGCCACAAGGGGGCACCTCTGCGGGCAGTGCCACAAGGAAGCACCTCTGCGGGCAGTGCCACAAGAGGGCACCTCTGCGGGCAGTGCCACAAGGGAGCACCTCTGCGGGCAGTGCCACAAGGGGGCACCTCTGCGGGCAGGGCTACAAGGGAGCACCTCTGCGGGCAGTGCCACAAGGGGGCACCTCTGCGGGCAGTGCCACAAGGGAGCACCTCTGCGGGCAGTGCCACAAGGGGGCACCTCTGCGGGCAGTGCCACAAGGGAGCACCTCTGCGGGCAGTGCCACAAGGGGGCACCTCTGCGGGCAGTGCCACAAGGGAGCACCTCTGCGGGCAGTGCCACAAGGGGGCACCTCTGCGGGCAGTGCCACAAGGGAGCACCTCTGCGGGCAGGGCTACAAGGGAGCACCTCTGTGGGCAGTGCTACAAGGGGGCACCTCTGCGGGCAGTGCCACAAGGGGGCACCTCTGCGGGCAGTGCCACAAGGGGGCACCTCTGCGGGCAGTGCCACAAGGGGGCACCTCTGCGGGCAGTGCCACAAGGGGGCACCTCTGTGGGCAGGGCTACACAGGAGCACCTCTGCGGGCAGTGCCACAAGGGGGCACCTCTGTGGGCAGTGCCACAAGAGGGCTCCTCTGCGGGCAGTGCCACAAGGGAGCACCTCTGTGGGCAGTGCCACAAGGGGGCACCTCTGCGGGCAGGGCTACAAGGGAGCACCTCTGCGGGCAGTGCCACAAGGGGGCACCTCTGCGGGCAGTGCCACAAGGAAGCACCTCTGCGGGCAGTGCCACAAGGGGGCACCTCTGCGGGCAGTGCCACAAGGGAGCACCTCTGCGGGCAGTGCCACAAGGGAGCACCTCTGCGGGCAGTGCCACAAGGGGGCACCTCTGCGGGCAGTGCCACAAGGGAGCACCTCTGCGGGCAGTGCCACAAGGGGGCACCTCTGCGGGCAGTGCCACAAGGGAGCACCTCTGCGGGCAGGGCTACAAGGGAGCACCTCTGTGGGCAGTGCTACAAGGGGGCACCTCTGCGGGCAGTGCCACAAGGGGGCACCTCTGCGGGCAGTGCCACAAGGGGGCACCTCTGCGGGCAGTGCCACAAGGGGGCACCTCTGCGGGCAGTGCCACAAGGGGGCACCTCTGTGGGCAGGGCTACACAGGAGCACCTCTGCGGGCAGTGCCACAAGGGGGCACCTCTGTGGGCAGTGCCACAAGAGGGCTCCTCTGCGGGCAGTGCCACAAGGGAGCACCTCTGTGGGCAGTGCCACAAGGGGGCACCTCTGCGGGCAGGGCTACAAGGGAGCACCTCTGCGGGCAGTGCCACAAGGGGGCACCTCTGCGGGCAGTGCCACAAGGAAGCACCTCTGCGGGCAGTGCCACAAGGGGGCACCTCTGCGGGCAGTGCCACAAGGGAGCACCTCTGCGGGCAGTGCCACAAGGGAGCACCTCTGCGGGCAGGGGCCACCCTTCGTGTGATCAGTTGACCTGATCTTCCGTGTATCAACCTGTTCGGCAAACAAGTTCCGGGTGCCAGTCGGCCTCGCAGTGAATGATCGCTGATGGAGTGATGTTCTTGAGAATGGCAACCATCAGCATGGTACTGTTGAAGGTTGAGAGCCTAGAGTGCCATGGGTGGCAACTACTGGTCGTCCACGGGGTTGGGCCAGGTCCGGTACTTTGAGGATGATGGCCTTGTACGTAAGTAAGACCAACAACGTCCCGACGGTGTTGCAGACTCTGATGTTCTTCAGCAAGAACACCGGCGGCACTGTTCTTCACCAACAAGAACACCGGCGGCACTGTTCTTCACCAACAAGAACACCGGCGGCACTGTTCTTCACCAACAAGAACACCGGCGGCACTGTTCTTCACCAAGAACACCAGCGGCACTGTTCTTCAACAAGAACACCGGCGGCACTGTTCTTCACCAACAAGAACACCAGCGGCACTGTTCTTCACCAACAAGAACACCAGCGGCACTGTTCTTCACCAACAAGAACACCAGCGGCACTGTTCTTCACCAACAAGAACACCAGCGGCACTGTTCTTCACCAACAAGAACACCAGCGGCACTGTTCTTCACCAACAAGAACACCAGCGGCACTGTTCTTCACCAAGAACACCAGCGGCACTGTTCTTCACCAACAAGAACACCGGCGGCACTGTTCTTCACCAACAAGAACACCGGCGGCACTGTTCTTCAACAAGAACACCAGCGGCACTGTTCACCAACAAGAACACCAGCGGCACTGTTCTTCACCAAGAACACCGGCGGCACTGTTCTTCACCAACAAGAACACCGGCACCACTGTTCTTCACCAACAAGAACACCAGCGGCACTGTTCTTCACCAACAAGAACACCAGCGGCACTGTTCTTCACCAACAAGAACACCAGCGGCACTGTTCTTCACCAACAAGAACACCAGCGGCACTGTTCTTCACCAACAAGAACACCAGCGGCACTGTTCTTCACCAACAAGAACACCAGCGGCACTGTTCTTCACCAACAAGAACACCAGCGGCACTGTTCTTCACCAACAAGAACACCAGTGGCACTGTTCTTCACCAACAAGAACACCAGCGGCACTGTTCTTCACCAACAAGAACACCGGCGGCACTGTTCTTCACCAAGAACACCAGCGGCACTGTTCACCAACAAGAACACCAGCGGCACTGTTCTTCACCAAGAACACCGGCGGCACTGTTCTTCACCAACAAGAACACCGGCACCACTGTTCTTCACCAACAAGAACACCAGCGGCACTGTTCTTCACCAACAAGAACACCAGCGGCACTGTTCTTCACCAAGAACACCAGCGGCACTGTTCTTCACCAACAAGAACACCGGCGGCACTGTTCTTCAACAAGAACACCGGCGGCACTGTTCTTCAAGAACACCGGCACCACTGTTCTTCAACAAGAACACCAGCGGCACTGTTCTTCACCAACAAGAACACCGGCGGCACTGTTCTTTAACAAGAACACCGGCACCACTGTTCTTCACCAACAAGAACACCAGCGGCACTGTTCTTCACCAACAAGAACACCGGCGGCACTGTTCTTCACCAACAAGAACACCGGCACCACTGTTCTTTAACAAGAACACCAGCGGCACTGTTCTTCACCAACAAGAACACCAGCGGCACTGTTCTTCACCAACAAGAACACCAGCGGCACTGTTCTTCACCAACAAGAACACCGGAGGCACTGTTCTTCACCAACAAGAACACCGGAGGCACTGTTCTCCAACAAGAACACCGGAGGCACTGTTCTTCACCAACAAGAACACTGGAGGCACTGTTCTTCACCAACAAGAACACTGGCGGCACTGTTCTTCACCAACAAGAACACCGGCGGCACTGTTCTTCACCAACAAGAACACCGGCGGCACTGTTCTTCACCAACAAGAACACCGGAGGCACTGTTCTTCACCAACAAGAACACCGGAGGCACTGTTCTTCACCAACAAGAACACCGGAGGCACTGTTCTTCACCAACAAGAACACCGGCGGCACTGTTCTTCACCAACAAGAACACCGGCGGCACTGTTCTTCACCAACAAGAACACCGGCGGCACTGTTCTTCACCAACAAGAACACCGGCGGCACTGTTCTTCAACAAGAACACCAGCGGCACTGTTCTTCAACAAGAACACCGGCACCACTGTTCTTCAACAAGAACACCGGCGGCACTGTTCTTCAACAAGAACACCGGCACCACTGTTCTTCAACAAGAACACCAGCGGCACTGTTCTTCACCAACAAGAACACCAGCGGCACTGTTCTTCACCAACAAGAACACCGGCGGCACTGTTCTTCAACAAGAACACCGGCACCACTGTTCTTCAACAAGAACACCAGCGGCACTGTTCTTCACCAACAAGAACACCGGCGGCACTGTTCTTCACCAACAAGAACACCGGCGGCACTGTTCTTCACCAACAAGAACACCGGCGGCACTGTTCTTCAACAAGAACACCAGCGGCACTGTTCTTCACCAACAAGAACACCGGCACCACTGTTCTTCACCAACAAGAACACCGGAGGCACTGTTCTTCACCAACAAGAACACCAGCGGCACTGTTCTTCACCAACAAGAACACCGGCACCACTGTTCTTCACCAACAAGAACACCGGCACCACTGTTCTTCAACAAGAACACCGGCACCACTGTTCTTCAACAAGAACACCAGCGGCACTGTTCTTCACCAACAAGAACACCAGCGGCACTGTTCTTCATCAACAAGAACACCGGCACCACTGTTCTTCACCAAGAACACCAGCGGCACTGTTCTTCACCAACAAGAACACCAGCGGCACTGTTCTTCATCAACAAGAACACCGGCACCACTGTTCTTCATCAACAAGAACACCGGAGGCACTGTTCTTCACCAACAAGAACACCGGCGGCACTGTTCCTCACCAACAAGAACACCGGCGGCACTGTTCTTCACCAACAAGAACACCGGCGGCACTGTTCTTCACCAACAAGAACACCGGCGGCACTGTTCTTAACCAACAAGAACACCGGCGGCACTGTTCTTCACCAACAAGAACACCGGCGGCACTGTGTTCTTCACCAACAAGAACACCGGCGGCACTGTTCTTCACCAACAAGAACACTGGCGGCACTGTTCTTCACCAACAAGAACACCAGCGGCACTGTTCTTCACCACAAGAACACCAGCGGCACTGTTCTTCACCAACAAGAACACCGGCGGCACTGTTCTCCAACAAGAACACCGGAGGCACTGTTCTTCACCAACAAGAACACCAGCGGCACTGTTCTCCACCAACAAGAACACCGGAGGCACTGTTCTCCAACAAGAACACCGGAGGCACTGTTCTTCACCAACAAGAACACTGGCGGCACTGTTCTTCGCCAACAAGAACACCGGCGGCACTGTTCTTCACCAACAAGAACACCGGAGGCACTGTTCTCCAACAAGAACACCGGAGGCACTGTTCTTCACCAACAAGAACACTGGCGGCACTGTTCTTCACCAACAAGAACACCGGCGGCACTGTTCTTCACCAACAAGAACACCGGCGGCACTGTTCTTCACCAACAAGAACACCGGAGGCACTGTTCAACAAGAACACCGGCGGCACTGTTCTTCACCAACAAGAACACCGGCGGCACTGTTCTTCAACAACAAGAACACCGGAGGCACTGTTCTTCACCAAGAACACCGGCGGCACTGTTCTTCACCAACAAGAACACCGGCGGCACTGTTCTTCAACAAGAACACCGGAGGCACTGTTCTTCACCAACAAGAACACCAGCGGCACTGTTCTTCACCAACAAGAACACCGGCGGCACTGTTCTTCAACAAGAACACCGGCACCACTGTTCTTCAACAAGAACACCGGCACCACTGTTCTTCAACAAGAACACCGGCGGCACTGTTCTTCACCAACAAGATCACCGGCGGCACTGTTCTTCAACAAGAACACCGGCGGCACTGTGTTCTTCACCAACAAGAACACCAGCGGCGCTGTTCTTCAACAAGAACACCGGCGGCACTGTGTTCTCCACCAACAAGAACACCGGCACCACTGTTCTTCAACAAGAACACCGGCGGCACTGTTCTTCACCAACAAGAACACCGGCGGCACTGTTCTTCACCAACAAGAACACCGGCGGCACTGTGTTCTTCACCAACAAGAACACCGGAGGCACTGTGTTCTTCACCAACAAGAACACCGGAGGCACTGTTCAACAAGAACACCGGCGGCACTGTTCTTCAACAAGAACACCAGCGGCACTGTTCTTCAACAAGAACACCAGCGGCACTGTTCTTCACCAACAAGAACACCAGCGGCACTGTTCTTCACCAACAAGAACACCGGCGGCACTGTTCTTCAACAAGAACACCGGAGGCACTGTTCTTCAACAAGAACACCGGAGGCACTGTTCTTCAACAAGAACACCGGCGGCACTGTTCTTCAACAAGAACACCAGCGGCACTGTTCTTCAACAAGAACACCAGCGGCACTGTTCTTCAACAAGAACACCAGCGGCACTGTTCTTCAACAAGAACACCAGCGGCACTGTTCTTCAACAAGAACACCAGCGGCACTGTTCTTCAACAAGAACACCGGCGGCACTGTTCTTCACCAACAAGAACACAGGCGGCACTGTTCTTCACCAACAAGAACACCGGCGGCACTGTTCTTCACCAACAAGAACACCGGCGGCACTGTTCTTCACCAACAAGAACACCAGCGGCACTGTTCTTCAACAAGAACACCGGCGGCACTGTTCTTCACCAACAAGAACACCGGCGGCACTGTTCTTCACCAACAAGAACACCGGCACCACTGTTCTTCACCAACAAGAACACCAGCGGCACTGTTCTTCAACAAGAACACCAGCGGCACTGTTCTTCAACAAGAACACCAGCGGCACTGTGTTCATGAGTACGAGTACCTGGAGATGTGGCCCACGAGTACCTAGAGGTGTGGCCCACGAGTACCTGGAGGTGTGGCCCACGAGTACCTGGAGGTGTGGCCCACGAGTACCTGGAGGCGTGGCCCACGAGTACCTGGAGGCGTGGCCCACGAGTACCTGGAGGTGTGTTTCCACGAGTACCTGGAGGTGTGTTTCCACGAGTACCTGGAGGTGTGTTTCCACGAGTACCTGGAGGTGTGTTTCCACGAGTACCTGGAGGTGTGTTTCCACGAGTACCTGGAGGTGTGTTTCCACGAGTACCTGGAGGTGTGTTTCCACGAGTACCTGGAGGTGTGTTTCCACGAGTACCTGGAGGTGTGTTTCCACGAGTACCTGGAGGTGTGTTTCCACGAGTACCTGGAGGTGTGTTTCCACGAGTACCTGGAGGTGTGTTTCCACGAGTACCTGGAGGTGTGTTTCCACGAGTACCTGGAGGTGTGTTTCCACGAGTACCTGGAGGTGTGTTTCCACGAGTACCTGGAGGTGTGTTTCCACGAGTACCTGGAGGTGTGTTTCCACGAGTACCTGGAGGTGTGTTTCCACGAGTACCTGGAGGTGTGTTTCCACGAGTACCTGGAGGTGTGTTTCCACGAGTACCTGGAGGTGTGTTTCCACGAGTACCTGGAGGTGTGTTTCCACGAGTACCTGGAGGTGTGTTTCCACGAGTACCTGGAGGTGTGTTTCCACGAGTACCTGGAGGTGTGTTTCCACGAGTACCTGGAGGTGTGTTTCCACGAGTACCTGGAGGTGTGTTTCCACGAGTACCTGGAGGTGTGTTTCCACGAGTACCTGGAGGTGTGTTTCCACGAGTACCTGGAGGTGTGTTTCCACGAGTACCTGGAGGTGTGTTTCCACGAGTACCTGGAGGTGTGTTTCCACGAGTACCTGGAGGTGTGTTTCCACGAGTACCTGGAGGTGTGTTTCCACGAGTACCTGGAGGTGTGTTTCCACGAGTACCTGGAGGTGTGTTTCCACGAGTACCTGGAGGTGTGTTTCCACGAGTACCTGGAGGTGTGTTTCCACGAGTACCTGGAGGTGTGTTTCCACGAGTACCTGGAGGTGTGTTTCCACGAGTACCTGGAGGTGTGTTTCCACGAGTACCTGGAGGTGTGTTTCCACGAGTACCTGGAGGTGTGTTTCCACGAGTACCTGGAGGTGTGTTTCCACGAGTACCTGGAGGTGTGTTTCCACGAGTACCTGGAGGTGTGTTTCCACGAGTACCTGGAGGTGTGTTTCCACGAGTACCTGGAGGTGTGTTTCCACGAGTACCTGGAGGTGTGTTTCCACGAGTACCTGGAGGTGTGTTTCCACGAGTACCTGGAGGTGTGTTTCCACGAGTACCTGGAGGTGTGTTTCCACGAGTACCTGGAGGTGTGTTTCCACGAGTACCTGGAGGTGTGTTTCCACGAGTACCTGGAGGTGTGTTTCCACGAGTACCTGGAGGTGTGTTTCCACGAGTACCTGGAGGTGTGTTTCCACGAGTACCTGGAGGTGTGTTTCCACGAGTACCTGGAGGTGTGTTTCCACGAGTACCTGGAGGTGTGTTTCCACGAGTACCTGGAGGTGTGTTTCCACGAGTACCTGGAGGTGTGTTTCCACGAGTACCTGGAGGTGTGTTTCCACGAGTACCTGGAGGTGTGTTTCCACGAGTACCTGGAGGTGTGTTTCCACGAGTACCTGGAGGTGTGTTTCCACGAGTACCTGGAGGTGTGGCCCACGAGTGCCTGGAGGTGTGTTTCCACGAGTGCCTGGAGGCGTGGCCCACGAGTACCTGGAGGCGTGGCCCACGAGTACCTGGAGGCGTGGCCCACATTCGTAAATACTTGGGTAACTGTTTCGTGAATGTTTCTTTAGTGTGTTTCAGGGAGTATATTTTGCTCACTGATGAACTATATGTTCCATGTGTCCCTTGCAGGCATTGGTATCGACTCTGTAACCAACGGGGTGACCCTAATCAAGCAGTCCGGTAAGGTAAAGTGTCTGCGGGACAAGATCGAGGCGCAGCAGAAGGACTTGGACTTCGAGCGGGAGTTGAACATCCACGTGGGGATCGCTCACACCCGCTGGGCGACGCACGGGGTTCCCTCCGACATCAACTCCCATCCGCAGAGGTCCGACGAGAACAACGAGTTCGTCGTCGTCCATAATGGTAAGTTATTATTTGGTGTTGGTTGGTAAAAGTATATATAGGGATTATGTGATGAGGTCGAGTTCAATGTCGTCTCGTAGCCTCGGGTTCGAACCCGTCGCAGCGCCTTCGAGTTGGAACCCGTCGCAGCGCCTTTGAGTTCGAACCCGTCGCAGTGCCTTCGAGTTCGAACCCGTCGCAGCGCCTTCGAGTTCGAACCCGTCACAGTTCCTTCGAGTTCGATGCTTCATCACCCGTTCGCCAACTCCCATCAAATGCAAAATCGATCAATAATACTGAATCACAAAGTTTGGGGTAAGTTTGCCTGTTGACTTTCCAGCACTTGAGGGAAGTTTCAATAACTCTGGTGCAGTGTTGTGATAGTTTTCACAACACGTGAGTTGTGGGTACATTTAGCCATTGTTGTTATGATGTTAGATTCATAGCTGATAGTGGCGGCGTCTTCGTTAACTTCAGAGTCAGCGGGAACTGAAATAACTTGTTTCTTGGCTCGTATATTTACTCGTTCCTTTTCCATCCTCTCTCTTGATCCTTGTAACCCCCTTCCACCTCCTTGACAGGTTCCTTGTCCACTCTCAAGATGTACGTGCTCTCCCTTCCTATTCCATTTCCTAGGCAGGCATCACCACTGACTCCCTTCCCACGTTCTCCCAGCCCTTCCACTGACCTTTCCCTTCTCTCCGGAACAGGCATCATCACCAACTACAAGGACGTTAAGGTGTTCCTGCTGCAGAAGGGGTACAAGTTCGAGTCAGACACCGACACGGAGATCATAGCCAAGTTGATCAAGCACCTTCATGTCCTCCACCCATCCTACTCCTTCAGGGAGCTGGTCGAGCAGGTCATCCAGCAGCTGGTGAGTGTGGAAGGTCCTCCCGGCTCGGAGGTCTTGAGTACTGGACTCGTAATCGAGGGGACCCGGTGGTAACCAGGGACATTCTTTCCTACTAATGCCCCCCCTTCCACACCCCCCCCCATTCCACTCTAATTCTCCCATCTCCCCTCCGTCTCATCTAGGGGGAGGGGCGGGGTCTCTGGTCTTGGGACCGCTGATTCACTCTGGAAACCGGTTTGGGACTGGTTCCAAGGAGTAAGGATTAGGGATGGGACAAGGGGAAGGAATAGTGCCCAACCACTGGGAAGGGGTCAGGATAAGGATTAGGGATGGGACGGGGGTAAGGAATGGTGCCCAACCACTGGGAAGGGGTCAGGATAAGGATTAGGGATGGGACGGGGGGAAGGAATGGTGCCCATCCACTTGTGGACGGTCGGGGATTGAACTCCGACCTGCATGCAGCCAGACCGTCGCTCTACCATCCACCCCAAAGTGGTTGGTGCATCGACAGAGTTCCTTGCCACGGTCAGCTTCCCATCATCGACAGAGTTCCTTGCCACGGTCAGCTTCCCATCATCGACAGAGTTCCTTGCCACGGTCAGCTTCCCATCATCGACAGAGTTCCTTGCCACGGTCAGCTTCCCATCATCGACAGAGTTCCTTGCCACGGTCAGCTTCCCGTCAAGGCAAGTTGAAAACGAAAGTGGTTAAGATAGTTTTTTTTACAATCGAAGGTTATATGTATTGTTCTTCCTAAGTCATAATACCACCACCACCATCCCTTCCCCCCCCCCTCTCTCTCTCTCTCTCCCTCTCTCCGCCTCTCTCTCTCTCTCTCCCTCTCTCCGCCCCTCTCTCTCTCTGTCTCTCTCTCCTCTCTCTCCTCTCTCTCCTCTCTCTCCTCTCTCTCCTCTCTCTGTCTCTCTGTCTCTCTCTCTGTCTCTCTGTCTCTCTCTCTCTCTCTCTCTCTCTTCCTCTCTCTCTTCCTCTCTCTCTTCCTCTCTCTCTCTTCCTCTCTCTCTCTTCCTCTCTCTCTCTCTCTCTCTCTCTCTCTCTTCCTCTCTCTCTCTCTCCTCTCTCTCTCTCTTCCTCTCTCTCTCTTCCTCTCTCTCTCTTCCTCTCTCTCTCTTCCTCTCTCTCTCTCTTCCTCTCTCTCTCTTCCTCTCTCTCTCTTCTCTCTCTCTCTCTCTCTCTCTCTCTCTCTCCTCTCTCTCTCTCTCTCTCTCTCTCTCTTCTCTCTCTCTCTCTCCTCTCTCTCTCTCTCTCTCTCTCTCTCTCTCTTCCTCTCTCTCTCTCTTCCTCTCTCTCTCTCCTCTCTCTCTCTCTCTCTCTCTCTCTTCTCTCTCTCTCTCTCTCTCTCTCTCCTCTCTCTCTCTTCCTCTCTCTCTCTTCCTCTCTCTCTCTTCTCTCTCTCTCTCTTCTCTCTCTCTCTCTCTCTCTCTCTCTCTCTCTCTCTCTCTCTCTCCTCTCTCCCCCCTCTCTCCCCCCCCTCTCTCTCCCCTGTCTCTTTCTTTTCCAAGCCAAGCATTTTGGGGTGGAGGCTGGAGCGACGGTCTGGCTTCATGCAGGTCCGCGTTCAATCCCCGACCGTCCATAAGTGGTTGGGCACCATTCCTTCCCCCCGTCCCATCCCTAACCCTTATTCTGACCCCTTCCCAGTGGTTGGGCACCATTCTTTCCCCTTCGTCCCATCCCTAACCCTTATTCTGACCCCTTCCCAGTGGTTGGGCACCATTCTTCCCCCTTCGTCCCATCCCTAATCCTTATACTGACCCCTTCCCAGTATTATGTAGTTGTAACGGCTTGGCCCTTTCCCCCTGATAATTCCCCCCCTCCCCCTCTGTCAGTGTATTGGAGACAGAATCACAAGTAGATAAACAGTATCAGTCTATCTCTTGATATCTTTGCTATGGTCCTTGGAGCAGAGTCCCAAATTCATTAGCACTCTCCATTCGCCTGGGCTGTAAGAGGCTCGAACCCTGGTCCCCCATGCGCGTGAAGCCGAAGCTGTATACGAAGAAGATGGCGCTTCGGCCTCTCACACTTGGGGTTCAAGGTTCGAGCCTCCTACAGAATGGACCGCTTCTTTCCACGGTATCTTATTACTCCGTTAATGTTAGCAGCCAAATGGAGCCTTCTTGACGTTGGGCTAAGAAGACTGAAGGAACCTTAAGGAGTTAGGAATGCAGGAGAGTATTCTTGACTAGTATTCTGCGGTATACAGAGTGGTAAACCTCGGGGGCTGGAGTGACAGCGGCTGGAGTTGTGATCCTGTGGTCCTGGGTTCTATCCCGGGCGCTGGCGAGAAGCAATAGGCAGAGTTTCTTTCACCCTATTCCCCTGTTACCTAGCAGTAAAATAGGTACCTGGGTGTTGGTCAGCTGTCACGGGCTGCTTCTTGGGGGTGGAGGCCTGGTCGAGGACCGGGCCGTGGGGACACTAAAGCCCCAAAATCATCTCGAGATAACGCCAAACCTGTCTCCTGAAGCCCACATGAAAAGAATAACATCTGCGGCATATGCGAGGCTGGCTAACATCAGAACTGCCTTCAGGTTCCTGTGTAAGGAATCATTCAGAACCTTGTATACCACATATGTAAGACCAATCCTGGAGTATGCGGCCCCAGCATGGAGCCCGTACCTTGTCAAGCACAAGACAAAGCTGGAAAAAGTTCAGAGGTATGCCACTAGACTAGTCCCAGAACTAAGAGGCATGAGTTATGAGGAAAGGCTGAGGGAACTGCACCTCACGACACTGGAAGACAGAAGAGTAAGGAGAGACATGATCACTACCTACAAAATTCTCAGAGGAATTGACAGGGTAGATAAGGATAAACTGTTTAACACGGGAGGTACGCGAACAAGGGGACAAAGGTGGAGACCGAGTACCCATATGAGCCACAGGAACGTTAGAAAGAACTTTTTCAGTGTCAAAGTAGTTTACAGAAGGAATGCATTAGGCAGTGATGTGGTGGAGGCTGACTCCATACACAGTTTATAATGTAGATATGATAGAGCCCAATAGGCTCAGGAACCTGTACACCAGTTGATTGACAGTTGAGAGGTGGGGCCAAAGAGCCAGAGCTCAACCCCTGCAAGCACAACTAGGTGAGTACAGGCTTCAGGGGATAGACAGTTCTATGGGTTTATAATCCTGTAGGTGAAAGAGCATCTCCTATTCTCAGTCCTACATTGTGGCTTGTTGAGCTAGTAACTGTTGCTCCTTGTTTGTGTTACATTGTGGCTTGTTGAGCTAGTAACTGTTGCTCCTTGTTTGTGTTACATTGTAGCTTGTTGAGCTAGTAACTGTTGCTCCTTGTTTGTGTTACATTGTGGCTTGTTGAGCTTGTAACTGTTGCTCCTTGTTTGTGTTACATTGTAGCTTGTTGAGCTAGTAACTGTTGCTCCTTGTTTGTGTTACATTGTGGCTTGTTGAGCTTGTAACTGTTGCTCCTTGTTTGTGTTACATTGTGGCTTGTTGAGCTAGTAACTTGTTCCTTGTTTGTATTACATCTGACCTTTTGAAGTTGTTGTCCGAATCAACATCCTCCAAATTGTTCAGCATTTAGAACGTTTCGATGAGATCAGCGATGAGATCACTGATGAGATGAATATGTACAGTATAGTCACAAGATTGGACCTCTGCCTGTACAATTATTTTTTGTATTTATACATATATACAAGAGTTGTTACATGGTTGTAAAGCCACTAGCAGGCATAGCATTCCGGGCAGGTCCTTAATACTCGTTTTCCCGGAAATACGACCCGCCCAATTGTTTAACAACCAGGTACCCATTTTACTGTTGGGTGAATAGAGGCTACAGTTAAGGATTGGCACTCGGTCAATCTTTTTCCCCGGCCAGGATACGAATCCTGGCCGATATCCATCTTGCGATATCCATCTCGAGTTAATTACAGCATTTAAAGAGATCCTATTGGTTTGATTGTTGATGCCAGCAAGGGCTAGTATATATTGTGTGTCCCATACTCGCCCTATGAACAGTGCGAGAGGATTACAGAGGGCACGAAATTATCTTAGTCAGACCTCGGTGAATATTTTATATTAGAATTTGCAATTTATCTGCTGATCTTTTATAATTAATTATAAAGAGAGCTGGTAATAAGCATGTTGTATTATAATGTATGAATTACAACATGTATTACAGGCTGTATTATACATTGGAGGCCACTTTTGGTTCACACTTTAAATGATTATCTATGTTGTATAAAAGCATGTGTATTATTATTGTCTACTGTTATGTATTATTATTGTGTAGTCTGTTATGTATTATTATTGTCTACTGTTATGTATTATTATTGTGTAGTCTCTTATGTATTATGTTATGCATGTGTGTTTTTCTAGTTTACTCTGCTTATACAGTCATCACCGAAACGCTACGCGTGTTAGTGGCTTCGCAAGAATGTACAAATACCAATCTTATGTAATCTCACCAACCTATTGTACCTTCTTGTGAATACAATTATTATTATTATTATTATGATGTACTATGTATCTAGTATATTTCTTTGAATTCATGAGATTTGGAAAATAGTAAAGATATTTACACTATTATGAAAACTGTAGGAAATATGGTACATAGTGCTACAAAATATCAATTGGCGAGTACTGCCCTCTCAAGTTTGACCCCACGTTACAGGAGGGAGCCTTCGCCCTGGCGTTCAAGAGCAAGCACTTCCCAGGAGAGTTGGTGGTCACTCGACGAGGCTCCCCTCTGGTAGTGGGCATCAAGACGAAGGAGAAGCTCGCGAGTGACCATATTCCAGTCCTCTACAGCAAAGGTATGTTTATATATTGATTTATCTCTTTATATATGTGCTAAGACAGACAACCATGATTCTCTCTCGATACCATTATGTTGTCTACTGTGTTCCGATCTTATTCTTCCTTTCTTTATTAATGATTTTGGCCTCATTAATTTTAATTATAAATGAAATACTGTTTTGTATTCAGATACAGTACATGATGAGAAGATGCACAGTAAACAACTTTTTAATTATGAGCCAAGTCTGGATAATTTAAGTAGTTTAAGTCATTTTTTTAGTTTATTGATTCATGTTCACTAGTTCCAATGTTTTGTTCGTTATGATACTCTGCTTATTAACTGTCATGCAGACTCTTTCTTTTAATTAACTCTGTATAAAATAGGTTAGATAATATAAATTCTTGAAATATTTAGTTTACAATTTACTATGGTATAACACCTTACCATATTACAGATTTTAGTTTATACATATTACCTGAATGCAAGTTTTTGGTCCACAACAACCAAATAATAATATATTGTATTTGCATACACACGATCGTGTTTTTCCCCACAAAAACCACTTCAGTATCACCTTCAATGAATGTATAATGAAACGCTACACATTTGTCCACAAAATGTCTGTAAATTATATGCTGCTCATATGCCGGTGTATGTTAAATATTTAGGATGTAAATCATTTTTAAGTTGCTTAGTATACTTTTACATAAATAAAATGCATTATGAAGATAGAATATAAATGCCAGTCATAATTTCCTTCATGTTATTGTAATAGTTTCTGGGTTTGTTAAAATACTATATTTCGTCAAGTTTAACTGTACACACTGCGCGTGATGATGAATGCTGTATATGGTGACGGGGTAACTGGCTTTTTTTCCCCCCCTAATGGATGTATTCTTGCTTATCCAGTTTTGAAGAAATCTCTCAAGTTTCCCAAATTCAAACTTGTACAGTATATTATTTAATTGTTCGTGAGGCTTGATTCTATTCAACATTGATAGCTATCAATAGAACAGTATAGATTCACAGGTTTGTTAAATGAGCATTTTAATACAACATGTATTCAGTTCCCACTGGGCAATATTTTCGGGTAACATTTAATAAAAATTTCAACATTGTTCCATCATTACATCAATGACATTAGTCCAGATTCGTTTGAGTCGGTAAATACATTTTACAGCTTGCTGGATATGGCCAATATTATTTGCCAATTTTCATTTAAAATAATTTTTAGTGTTTGATAAGAAAATAGAAAACTCAGATTTAGGATATAAATTCCATTAATAAATACTGTGTAATGTACAAGATGAGAATCTTCAAGACTGGACCAATATCAGGACAAAAAGGTATTCTCTAACTCAACGGTATTATTTTTGGCTTACTAAGATGGGTGCGAGTTTGGAGGACGGACACTGGGTTCAAGAGATAGAGGCAAGTGAGGCGTTGAGAGACTAGCCGGCACCTTTAAATTATATGCATGCCATCTTAAGCACATCTTTTCATTATTTATATTGCCTATGTTTTTGCTTTTAAGCTTCCTATTTTTCTTATTTTTCCCTTGCATTAATATACAGTAGTAGAGTAGCTAAGCTTAGACTGCTGTAGCAAGAGCATTGATATTTTGTAGCTGCTAATGTTATTTGCTTTAGAATACAAGTGAACACCTGCTGCCGATCTCCACAGCAGGTACGCAACTATTCCACCCTGTCGTCCAACAATGATAGCACCAGTACCTATACCTACTGAGCAGAGAAGTACAAAATATGTACTCTTGCTCCCAAAAAAAGATATTGTACTATTAATTTTGTAGTAGGGCCAAGAGAAAGGACAACCAAACCTAACTTTGGATATAATAAGAAGTCATTGTCTCAGGGGACAGGAAGCCAGCGTGTGTTCACACACGTTTAGTCTTTTATCGAGGTCACCCCCCACCCCCACCCCCAAGTTCGAATTACTGACCCTCCCAGGATACAACCCTACAACAAGCTGACTCCTGGGTACCTACTTACTGCTAGGTGAACAGGTGCATTAGCTGACAGGAAATGTGCTCAACCATTTCTGTCGTGCCCGGGATTCGAACCTGGAATTCTCGATTGTGTGTCGAGAAGGAACCCGACTGTACTACCGGGACCCGTAAATGCCTAGTATAGTATACGTATATATGTAATAAATTAGGCCGAGATTGTTCGTATTAAGCATAGGATTGGTAATTTAAACCTAGAATAGATTAAATTTATGGTTACCCTGCAGGGGAGCCTGACAGCTGAGTGAACAGTGCTCGGAATTCATAGTCCTGAGGTTTCGGGTTCGATCCCCAGTGGAAGCAGATACAAACGGGCAGAATTTCTTTCACCCTGATGCACTTGTTCATCTAGCAGTAAATAGGTACCAGGGGAGTTAAATAGCTGCTACGGACTGCTGCTTCCTGGGGATGTGCAACAAAAAAGGAGATCTGGTCGAGGACCGGGCCGCGGGGATGCTGAGCCCCGAAATCATCTCGAAATAACCTCAAGAAGAGAGAAGATATCCCGTTGTTTTGCTGGTCTCTGCAGAAATCCAATAATAGTATAAAACTACATTTTTTTAGAGGTATAGCCATTAATACTTTGTACATTTCACACTCAGTAGCTATAGGTACTGTGTCTTGAGGCTGTGTTGAATAAGTGTCACTAACATGAGTTTAAGACTGATAAACTTGAACATTATTAATTGAAAATGTTCTTAACTTTTTTTTTGGTCACATTTTTAACTTTGTAAGTTTATAGCAAAACCTTTCTTTAACCTTGTATATGTTGTGGGTTCTAAACGTGATAGGAGAAAACATTGAGGCCATACGATTTGAGTTGACAGGGATCGTCGGTACCGACACCTGAGAGTAGGCTGGGGTATCGCTGCCAGGGATCGTCGGTACCGACACCTGAGAGTAGGCTGGGGTATCGCTGCCAGGGATCGTCGGTACCGACACCTGAGAGTAGGCTGGGGTATCGTTGCCAGGGATCGTCGGTACCGACACCTGAGAGTAGACTGGGGTATCGCTGCCAGGGATCGTCGTCACCGATACCAGAGTGTAAACAGTTATCACTGCCAGGAATCATCATCATGCGGGTATCACTACCTGGGATCATCACTGATACCAGAGTGCAGGCAGTTATCACTGTCAGGGATCATCATCACACGGGCGATGAGTCACAATAACGTGGCTAAAGTATGTTGACCAGACCACACACTAGAAGGTGAAGGGACGACGACGTTTCGGTCCGTCCTGGACCATTCTCAAGTCGATTGATCACGCTGGTATCACTAACAGGGATCATCACTGATACCAGAGGGTAGGTGGTTATCACTGCCAGGGATCATCATCACTGATACCAGAGTGCAGGCGGTTATCACTGCCACGGAACATCGTCACTCATCAACCTGTCCTCTTATAAATTACGTCACTTTTTCGCTCGTATGCGCAACGGTCAAATAAAAAAGGCCGTAATTTGAAAATGAAAAATAATTGAAAATAAATTTGGGAATTTTTTTCCAAAATGGCAAGTTGAGGGTCCTCTGGTAGGTTAGGAGGGCAGGAAGTTCTCCTAAGGATTCAAAACGTCATGAAAACCATTAATTGAAAGGTAACCTAACCTAACCTAACAGCTTAAGCCAGACGACCCAAAACAGAAAACAAGACAGTACGTCACTTTCGTGAGCCGATTTAGGTTTGAATTATGTAGAATTTTAGCCCGAGTGCACATACGAGCGAAAAGCAACGTAGTTTGTAAGAGGACTTGTTGCACTGATACCCGAGTTTAGGCAGTTACCGCTGACGACCAACACCTGTTTGGGTGGGGTATCTCCTAAAGCTTGCATTGTAGTACTGGATGGTGCCTTCCAAACTCCATGAAAGTCAAGTACGGTAATTCTGGTTTAGATACTTTTAGTCCATCATATTCCACTCGGTAGCACACGTGTCTGGGGAGTCTTGGTACGTGGGTTCAATCCCATCATATGACCTCAATATTTCCTCTGATACATCACATTCTTATGATTTCTTTGCGATAATTACCCATAGAATGCTATCTCCATTTATTATCATTTAAGATAAGGTTAAAGATGCAGGTATGTTGTCATTATACTTTCATTAACCACTATAGTGCGCAGAGTACCCTAAGGCGCTCTGAGAGTTGTTTTTTCTTTTAATTATTCTATATTTTAATGTTTTTTAATGTTTTCATCACTCTGTGTTTTGAAATGAAAATGGTTGAGTTTGGAAACATTTTGATATTAACTGAACATTTATAAAAACAACAACAAATAGGTCCTTGACAATTGCACTATGAAGTTTTTGCTTAAACCATGTGAGCAGTGCAGTGGTTAAGCATCATTTGTGAAAGGCAATTTTAGATTTAAGTACTATGGTTAGAAATTTGCAAAACAATAAGCATGTTATTTGCAATAACAATATAAGCTTTTAAAAATTTTCAGCAAATACCACAGCACTCATTGTCATTAATGCCTGGTGGCTTATTTTAAGAAAATGTCATATTCTGTACAGAATTTGTGGTCAAATTCTTTAACATTTTAGACAACTTGGTATGTAGCGTATAGCTTCTAAACTGTAAGCCTACTCGTTCAGTATTGAATATAATGAAAAGCCAATTTCTGGGCAAGTCCTGCTGACTTCCTTACCATTTCTAATGTAGGCGCCATCAGTTGTAGAGTTCTACGGCCTGCCAGGAACCAAGAGCTAAAACCTGGTTTCCTCAGAGGTTAAGGGAGCCATGCCATTTATATATTAAGTTATTTATGCCACCACTGAGATAGGCGCCCAGAAAGTCGGCTAGTCAAAACACACCCAGCTAGTAAGGGGCCCTGGCAGCCGAGTGGATATCACTTTGGGTTCGTAGTCCTGAGGTTCCAAGTTCGATCCCCGGTGGAGGTGGAAACATATGGGCAAAGTTTTTCATCCTGATGCCCCTGTTCATCTAGCAGAAAATAGATACCTGGTAGTTAGACAGCTGCTACAGGCTGCTTTCTGGGGATGTGTAACAAAAAGGAGACCTGGTCGAGGAATGGGCCTCGACCAGGCCCTTGAAATCATCTCGAGATAACCTCACGATAACACCACAGCTGGCTGCTTGCAAGATCTGCAGCCACAAAAAAGGCAATAAAACTCTCCAAACTTTGTAGACAAATGATTGAAAATTACATTAAACTAGTGCCTGCTCGTTCACTTCACTTTCCCCCCCATCATTTGAGGCAGGAGGGAGCAGGCCACAGGTTGCGAGCCGCTCCACCATCAGTTTGACAAATGGTGTAATAAACCCCCCCCCCCCCCCCCCCCCCCCCGCCCCCTGCAGGCAACGAGTCACAATACCATGGCTGAAGTATGTTGACCAATCGACTTGAGAATGGTCCAGGACGGACCGAAACGTCGTCGTCCCTTCATTTTCTAGTGTGTGGATTGGTCAACAAACCCCCCTCCCTCCCTCCCTCCCTCCCTCCTGGCCCATTTTTTAAGGCTGTAGGTCTTAGAGGCAGCCAGCTGTCATTTGTTTTGTCTAGCTGACTTTATGGGTAACTTCCTCGATGGTGGCAATACTTCATGGTAGAACAAAGCGACTGATGGCACCTACATCGGAGATGGTAGCTTCAGGGAACCACAAGGGGCTTTCACAAGAAATGCAGAAATATATATGGTCTAAACTGTAGCCCTAGTCGTGTAGAAGTGTTAAATATCGGTTCTTTATTGCATATGGTGGCATGTGGGATATTTTATGCAGTTAAACTTTGAAAATAGTTTTACCTGTAATGGTGATGGTTTGGATTAATGGTTGCTGCTTCTTGGGCATCTTTGGCACTGTAAGTGGGTTTTGTTTGTATTTAATGGTTAAGGTTTTGGACTCGGAGAAATGCTCTTAAAGTTTGTAATAGAGGGGTGGTAATGTGTTACGCGGCACGAGTGATGTGTTTTATTTAATTACATATTTTGTTTCAGCACGTGGATTAAGCATTGGTAGATTTGTAGTTTGTTTTTTCCTTATATTTTTGTTTGTTGTTTTTTGTGACAGTATTTATATTTTTTTTTTAGTTGTGTAGTTATTTGGTGGTATGAAATGTAAGACTTGAAGGCAGTAGTGACTTAGCCTTATTTATATTAACCCCAACTTCTCCTCCGTGTTTGCTCCTGCCTGACCTGCCCTCCACACCACGTCCAGATTCACCCGAGAAGGTTGACCTCCAAGGTAGTTAGTGGTTCCTTCTTCCCGTCTTGTATTTCCTTGAGTAGTGAGACAAGCAGTCTTGATTGTCCAATAGTTCTCTGCTTCTTTCTCTTTTATAACGTCTACATAATTGATTAAAGTTTTGTTTTCTGTGTGTATATATAGTTATAGTGCAATCTTCTTTATCTTTATCTTTTTTTTTTGTTAGTTAAATGTGGGTGTATAATTTTTGTTGCGCGCACACACACACACACACACACACACACACACACACACACACACACACACACGTTACATGGGCACACACATATGCTAAAGCTACAAGATAGATGAAATAGAGGCAGAATGATCACCACTGAATGAATAAAGTGCGTTGGGAAGACGGAACACCGCAAGCGTAGCTCTCGTCCTGTAACTACACTTAGGTACTTACACTTAGGTAATTACGCGATTTCCCATTGTCAGGAGACAGGATGCCCGTTATGCTTATTGAGGCCTTCATTGGCCAATGGCCGACCTTTCCCAGGATACAACCCACAACAGTCGGCTAATTCATGGGTAACTATTTGATGCTAAGTGATCAATGGCATCAGGCGTTAGGAAACGAGAGGAAATATATCACTCTGCTCTGAAATCAAATTGTACTACAGGTCATTGTAGCACAAATGTATCTACTGTATGTGTGTAGTAAATACATTTAGGTGCCCTGTAGTGCAGTGCAGTCTAAGAAATGGTCTTCGGTTAGTTTCCTATTGAGGACGAAATGTTTGGGTACATTTCCAAACGCCTGATGCCTCTGTTCACCTGGCACTAAATAGATACCCAGGAGTTAGGCAAGTGTTATTGATCATATCTTGGGGAAGGTCAGTATTTGGCCTAGAGAAACCTCATTAAGCCTAAGGCCTAAGAAGCTTCCTGTTCCCGACAGAGAACAGGAAGCTGCTTGGGCATCTTTATGATTGCATATGATTGTGTATATGATTGCAACATGTGCACACCACCATATTATGTGAGAAATCTTTAAAGAATTCTGATAAAGAAAGAGATCTAGGGGGTGGTTCTAGATAGAAAACTATCACCTGAGGACCACATAAAGAATATTGTGCGAGGAGCCTATGCCACACTTTCTAACTTCAGAATTGCTTTTAAATGCATGGATGGCGATACAGTATACTAAAGAAATTGTTCATGACTTTTGTTAGGCCAAAGCTAGAAAATGCAGTGGTTGTGTGGTGCCCATATCTTAAGAAGCACATCAACAAACTGGAAAAGGTGCAAAGACATGTTACTAAGTGGCTCCCAGAACTGAAGGGCAAGAGCTACGAGGAGAGGTTAGAGTCATTAAATATGCCAAAACTAGAAGACAGAAGAAAAAGAGGTGATATGATCACTACGTACAAAATAGTAACAGGAATTGATAAAATTGATAGGGAAGATTTCCTGAGACCTGGAACTTCAAGAACAAGAGGTCATAGATTTAAACTAGCTTAACACAGATGCCGAAGAAATATAAGAAAATTCACTTCGCAAACAGTGGTAGACAGTTGGAAAAAGTTAGGTGAGAAGGTGGTGGAGGCCAAGACCGTCAGTAGTTTCAAAGCTTTATATGACAAAGAGTGCTGGGAAGACGGGACACCACGAGCGTAGCTCTCATCCTGTACCTACTCTTAGGGATTACACTTGGGTAATTACAAACACACACACACTGAAATGACAGTGACAATGTTTCGGTCCGTTCTGGTAAGGGTGAAGGAATCTCTCTGAAACATTATTACTTTCATTTAATTTCATGTAATGGGTTTTAATATTTGATAAAAGTTAGACTTTTATAGCAGATAGCTTCTTGTAAGTCTGTTCTTCCATATTTTGTTTTGTTACAGTACCTGTTTAAACTGTATTTAATACAGTACTTTATTTTCATTAATGTTTCCATTTTCTTTCATATTTCCCTTTTGAAAGTTGCATAGTTAGTGATGTATATAGTAAACATGGCCGACTGAAATCTTCATTAATAAGATGATCCCAGCGAGTGTTGTGATAGTAATTACAAGCTGCTTTATACAGTAGTGTTTCGAAGCTCTAAATAATTTGCATGTAACCAGGTATGGACATTTAGCCTTGATCAATTTTAAGAATTTGATGACCAGACCACACACTAGAATGTGAAGGGACGACGACGTTTCAGTCTGTCCTGGACCATTCTCAAGTCGATTGTGATGAGGAAGTAGAGACAGGCAATAAATAGGCACGAGAGATGAGGAGCAAAATAAGGTGTAATAGAGAATTTAAGAATTTGCAACAACAAATCCTGTTAGTTGAAAGATACAATATTAATTGTAAAATATATATATATATATATTCTTATTATATTAATTACATGGAAAGGCTTTTGAGATTCATTGATTCGTCATGCAAGTTTTCTATTGATGCCATACATTGTAAAATCTAGTGGAATAAATTTCATGCAATAGTGGGCGTCAAATTGTGTAGTAGTCAATTTGTCAAACTCGCACTTGAGCAGTGATGTGAAGACAGCCACTTTTGTGCAGGATGCAATACTGCATTTAATACTTGCAAGTGAATTGTACGTTACGTGACGTACTGTACGACCTACGGGAAAGATCTCGGAACACTTGACTGTCGGTCACATCCTGTGCGTAGGTTTGAACCCTCATCACGGCCCTTGTGGATTTATTCATCCGTCATTAGTGTTGTGGAAGATGGGATCCCCAATAATGAAGGTTTTGGTACAACCATATATAATTACTGTGTTTATTTACTACTAACAGTACTCCTGGGGTATGGTTTCAGGGCTCTTGTGTTGAGTATCCGACTGTTGTATTGTTTTGTTTCCGATTCTAATATACATGTTGGTGGATATTCTGATTTTCCGACATAATTCACTGTTTGGTGGTAGTTCCATTATTAATATGGCTATGGGTTTAGAGTTAATAAATAAGGCTCTAATTGAAATAATGTTTATGGTGGTGGTTTTTTGTTAGGTATTGTGGCACGAATTGTTTACTTGTACAGAGGATATGTAACCAAAAATTGTATTGTCTGATTGCAAAGTAGTTAATTATTATGATTGCTTATAGTATTAGAAGTGCTGTGTGATAGTACATGTGTATAGTATATTATTTTGCTCCTTTGCAAAGAGAGTTTGATCTGACTATTGTTATACAGACGATGAGTCGGTAATGTGGCTGAAGATATGATGGCCAAACCCACACACCAGATGATGAAGAGACACGGACATTTCAGTCCGTCCTGGACCATCGACTCGATGATGGTCCAGGACGGACCAAAACGTTGTCGTCTCCTCGTCTTCTGGCGTGTGGTTTGGTCATCACTATTGTTATAGTTTATTAAATTGGCTTTAAGTATGCTGTGCTTTTATGAAGTCATGGGGAAAAGCTTTACCAATGTGTGAGACTAACTTTTGTAGTAGCATAAGCATATGGGTTGTCGTGGTAAGTTGTCAAGTTGCCAGCGTCCGTTTTGTGCACTTTCGGTTGGTTATATATTCTCTAAGCTTGTCTAGTTTATGTACTGGATATCTTGGTCATTTTATACTGATAAGGTGATTTAATTTTCAAAATGCTTACCTTCAGCTGTTACAGCTAAGGTGATGTGGTATTGGCAAATTACAAAATTAGTTTTTCTTTTCATGTACATTTTCACTATCGCTTGGCCTAAATTTTGTTCAGTGTCATTAAAGGCTTTCAGCTTTTCATGCCAGCAACTCTGCTGTCACTGTCACCTCTACTGAGTGTCTGATTTTTTGTATATATACAAGGTACATGGGTTATTACAAGTTTTAATGCTTAATACTTTCTTGCAAAGTCGCTAATGTGTGTAGTGTTTTCGGCAAATACTGTAAGCACAAACTGCACATGCACATTAGGAGCCGAAACCCAGTCCATACTACGTGGCAAAATATGCAAGTACTGTATTGTAGTACCGCCTGGCCGACCGGGAGCTCCCGGTCGGCCGAGCGGACAGCACGCGGGACTTGTGATCCTGTGGTCCTGGGTTCGATCCCAGGCGCCGGCGAGAAACAATGGGCAGAGTTTCTTTTACCCTATGCCCCTGTTACCTAGCAGTAAAATAGGTACCTGGGTGTTAGTCAGCTGTCACGGGCTGCTTCCTGGGGGTGGAGGCCTGGCCGAGGACCGGGCCGCGGGGACACTAAAAAGCCCCGAAATCATCTCAAGATAACCTCAAGAAGATGGTCACTGGAAATGGGAGAATTGCACATTCATAGGACAGCATGTGTGGTACTGTGGATTAGGAGGAGAGTGTCTGCCAATTTCAGCCTTTGGAGAGCTAATAGTGATGCTGGCGCATGTGTATCATGTAGCCAGTTGCCACATGAGTAGACTATTGCTGAGAATCCTTCTGCTGCCAGGGTAAACATCCATCGTCCCTCCAGGACTACAATAGATTAAAGTTTGAAAATGAAGTATTGTTTTGATACTTGGAGGAAATGCTATGATGAGTTATAGAGGGGCAAGGGTCAACTTGTCACTGTCAAGTTGACCCAGGTAAACTGTACACAGCCATCATAGTGGGGCTTGCTGGTACCCAAACAGCAACATGATTTCATTATTAATACTGTATCAGAATGTGCTTCCTCTTTAAAAGTCTCCACATAAAGGAATGGCAGTAAATACCACATCATCGCTGTCACCCATCACAGGTTTTTGAAGATTTCTTCTCTACCACCACTTGTATTGGAACAAACAAGTTAAAGCAATTAACCCTTGGACTGCCCAACTTTTTAAAAGTACTAAATCAAGATATGTCCGACACAAATTGGTTAACAAATCAAATGGGGGGGGGGGATATTATACATGACATGTGCACAGGAGCTAATCATAAATAGCAATTGGAGCAATGAAGGGGTTAAACAAGAGCTATCAAGTTACCGAGTCAAGAGATCGAGTCAGCAAGAGTTATCGCCCCTGAATCTTGGAATGGGAGAACTTCCCCAATGTTCTGTCCTCCGACTTTCATTT